GGATCTGGGCTGACTTCATGCAAGTGGCTCTCGCCGGCTTCCTCATATCCCTGTTCCCCCTATCCTGCGATCTTATGGGTTGGCGTGGTGCCGGAGGTAGCGGCGCTGCTAGCATGCAAGTTATCCCCATCTTCTCTTTCATCCATCTCCTGCTGTCTGTCTACCAATTATGCTGACGAAGCTCGGTTACAGCGGCTCCTACTTCTTCTTCGGTGGTCTCCTCATGTTTGTCGGCGGCCTCCTCGAATGGATCCTCGGCAACACCTTCCCCTCCGTCGTCTTCCTGACCTTCTCGGCCTTTTGGCTCAGTTTTGGCGCCACCCTCGTCCCGGATTTCCACGCCTACGCGGCCTACGCGCCCGCGGACGCGATCTCGGTCGCCGAGGGCCTGCAGACGCGCGGCTTCAATGCCAGCTTCGGCTTCTTCCTGCTGGCCATGATGCTGCTCTGCCTCGTGTACCTCGTCTGCTCCCTGCGCACCAACGTCGCCTTTTTCATCATCTTCCTGACGCTCGTCCTCGGCTTCGGCCTGCTGACGGGTGCGTACTGGGCTCTAGCATCTGACTATACCGGCAACGCCGCGTTCGCAAACAAGCTGATCAAGGTATGTCGTTGTCTGGTCTGCTTTTTCTCTTTACCGTTCCGACTCCCGCCAATGGCCGCACTGCATCCTTTTTTGCACAAACACCGACGCTGACTGTCTCAGGGCGGTGGGGCCTGTTACTTCGTGACCTGTCTCGCCGGGTGGTGGATCTTTGTGGCTATCCTGCTGGCCGTGTTGGAGTTTCCCTTCCAGCTGCCCGTGGGCGATCTGAGCCAGCTGTTTGCCAAGAAGGAGGTTCGCAATAAGAGCAATGTCTGAAGGTGTCTGGCGCTGTGCACCAGCGATTCTTCTGCGGAGCACGTATATTTGCAGTCGTTGGACTTACCTAGGATACTATTACTCATCCGATACGGCCGTCCTTCTGGCTTGACGAATCTGCGTTTGACAAGCGGAGTGAAACGTGGATCTGCCTGAACGATGTCACCTCCCTCAAGTTTGAAACCTGTCTTCGAGGCGGATCTCTTCTGGATTTCTGGCGCTTTCCAGGCAGACTTCAATGTATGCGCATCAACCTGTGCGGATTGCTCGCCCCGAAAGGGGAATAGCGACACATTCAAGGCGTCGCTTTTCTTAAGGCTATTTTTTAACGAATTTTGCCCGAGTGATGTCGAAAAGAGTAGGACAAGTCACGGTATCCCAATCCAGCGGCAACATTCATCCAATAATCAGAGGCACCCTGTTTAGCAGCTGGGAGGCTTAGGGCGTTGTGGATTATTTCAAATAATATTAATAAGAGAGTAATGGGTCTAAATCTAAAGCTATATCAAGGGCCCATCCGCTGTCTTACAAGACACATTCACAAGAGTCATTATTCGAAAGTTGTCGGGAGGCACATACGGCGCCGCAAACTAGGTGCTGGTTCAGGGGCTTAGAACTACTAGAGAAAGTATGTAAGGGCTATAGGGAGCTCTCATAGCGATAAAGTGGAAGAGTTTCTACCTACTAATACTGCTAATATCACCTGCGGGAGACCTCTTAATTATGGTCATCCACATGCGTGGACGAACTTGAGGAAGATGGACTGGGTCCCGCCCCTATCTATACTCAGCCATTCTAGCATCTAATACTTGTGAAGGAATATAATTCGGACGGTCATGTTCCCCTGGACCCGGCCACCATCGTGGCCAACATCCCAGGCAGCGTGTATACGAGGGAGTAGGAAGTAAAGGTAATGTACTAATTCCTACTTTCTACCCAGATTGACCCCAACCAATCCAACGCCAATTACAAAATCTCCGTGGAAACAGTTCGTAAGCTTATTCGCATGTCATTCTTTTGATGTTGTCACAGCATCCAAACCGCATTACTTTTGTGTAATCCAGACCATCTGCGGACCGGCAACTGTTGCTCCGATCAGCTCGCCCATGCTGTGGTCAGCACTGCTCGTCACGGCAACCCAAGCATGCCCCCAGAAGCCGTCAGGCACGTGCGCAACCCCCTTCTCGAGCCTGGTAAACTCGAGGCTTACTCCAAAGGGCCCATCCACGCAAGCCACAGCTTCGCATGGTACGGCAGCATCACATGTACTCGACT